AGTCCGTGCAAGTCTGCTGACATTGATGTTCTCCGGTGGACGCGGCGGATGTGCTCAGTGAGATTCTCTTTCCGTGTGAAGCCGGCGCCGGAGCGCTTGCAGTCGGCGAACGGACAAAAAAGTGATTTCTTCGTACCGCCGTGCATCTTGTGAACCTCGCGCTCATGGCGACCGAGGCCGCCCCTGTAGGTGAATCCTTGGACCTTTTCGCAACCCTTGGCATTGCACTTGTAAGGACGGTCATGCTTGTCCATGTGTTTGCTGTAAACAACAGTTAATTTATCATGGTTGTTTAGAAGGAGTAGGTTTGTGGGGTAGATGGGATATGCTTACTTCCAGTCGCATTTGCGATCGAATGATATGCCCTGGCACTCTTGGTGTTTGCACATTATCTTGTTGTCCCCATTGCGCGACGGCTCTTTACCGCGTTTGCTGCTGTGGTTCTTCCGTAGGGATTCATTGTTATCACCAAATTGAGGGGAGTCTGTAGAACGGCTTGTGTGGTGGGACGCTGGAGAGCTGGCTGCCTCTGGTTGGCTATATTCATCTGCGGAAGATTTTGTAAGAGATCTTGAGCAGTCCTGCTTAGCGACACCAGGGATATCTCTGTCTATTATGCTTGCGCAAATTTGGAGCTAGAAAGATCGCGACCCAGATGGTTTTGCAAGATACTAGAGGAATGAAAGATAAAAAAAATAAAACGATATGTTACAGCAGACCAGCAGTGATGACTTATATGTATGTGTAGCGATGAAGCGGCTGTAAGGCAGAACGTCAGGCTTTTTACTGCATGCTAGGCAACGTTGGGGACACCCTCCCCCATGATGAAGGGGCGTAGGCGCAGTCAAAAATGCATTGGCACTTGAACAGGCAGCAATGCTTTGTTTATGCACGTGTGTTCAAGTAGCGCAGGGGGGTTGTTAGTACCTTCCTCATTGATTTCTTCGCTTTTTGGTTATTGGGCTACAATGAACAAGTGGGCTGTGCAGGGTGCGGAATGGATATATAGGGTGGATAACCACCCCGTAGGGGTAACCAAAGTTCTTCCTATCCCTTTTTCTCTTTTTCGTTTACGTACAGAGTACAAGTCAGATAAACTAAAGTAGACTCTGTCGGACACTTGTTTTTTTTCAACTGACGTCAGCACAATCACGTAGTAACAGTGAAGATGAGTAACGCAGATGGCTGTCTAGCGTCAGATGCACATAGCAACAGCGCTAAATTTGTGATCGGGGATGCGGAGAACAATCGGCAGGTAGTAGATTCATCGAAATCGAAGTTGAGGGAGCTACTCAAAAACGCAAATTACAAACCAGCCGCAGTATGTGAGGATACTGCATTCTGTTGTTTTCTACAGGGTAAGAAGCTATAATTTTTCAGTAGTTAAAGCGAAGTCTGTTAACCTGTATGCAGAGTTGAAACAGAATGGGCTTTCTCTGCTCTTCCACGTCGAGGCTCGCAGTAACCCGTCATTGGAGGTAATAACACAAGCTTGCCGTACACGTCGATTTCCGAAGACGGAGCCAACTTGCTGTCGGGTACACCAAGCATATGATGGTGTGCAGCAACCCAGCGAGGCTGTTCTTATTACGCACTTGTCATATAAGCTAGGTTCATACAGCTATTGTGTTTGGGACTTGTGTATAGAATCTTTCAAGATTCTATGCTACAGAATCCTGCCCGTCCTCATCAGAAACAATGATGTGCCAATGCGGGCACTAGGACACGATGTTCTTTGTCTCATATCGCTTGGCGGATTTTCTAGCGAAGCGGAATGCCATTGTGGGAGGGTGAATGGTGTCTGGTCAATGGAAAGTGTGTGCGAAGCGTGTCGTGGTGGCAATTGGTTTGGCGGCGATCAATTCCATCGTCTCCAGTGGCTGATGTGTAAAGCACTAGTTTCTTCGAAGGCTCTTGAGGATGTGGGAAGATACATCGGCTTTAGGGAGGGGCGTGTTGGAAGTTATATACGAAATTTTCGTCAAGAATCGTCGAAGTCACCACTCAACTTCCGGTATTATATGGCGAAGGGTGAGGGATTTTTAGAATGACCTCTAAGCAAGCCTTCTGGGATTTGCCATATAGCATCAACGTAAGAATCACCGAAAGTAATGCCTGTGTAGTGCGTGTAACAAGGTGCAACACAGCAGCTGGTAAATTCCATCCTTGGAGCCGAACAAACAACATACTCGAGTTAGTACCACCAGAAACTACACACCATAGTCGAATGTTGGAAAAGAGCAGTTTCCCTATGCATGAAAAAACTGTAGTCCCTCAAAGTCACCTTCCCAGCGTAGATTTCTGGAGTACGATGCAAAGCATGTTACACAAGAACGTTGTACTATTCCCAACACGCATTCACAACACGCTAAACGAGCTAAAACTAGAATCCATTAGTAACTACTCACTAAGTTCTTACTACCGCCTAGCCCCATAAATGTAAAGGTTCTATCTACATACTCTTGCGATATGCAGCCCCGTCCATGGCGTTACTTAGGCCTACACATTTACCAAAGAAAGTACCTGTTACAATACAAGGCAAGCTGCTTACAAGTAATCAGCTTGGAGGATCCCAAGGGATGGACTGCGCCGCAATCCTTCAACCACGCCACAGTCACGTGACCGACCATACATGCATCCAGCCAATCAGGGCACGATCGTCAACGATCACTTTATTGATCGTACAGGATCACTTATCTTCTTAGTATGTAGTATAGGCATTGAGCCCTTATGGCTCGATGTGTTCAACTTAAGTTTTGAGTNATATTGCACCCTGCCGCTCTATCTGCGAAAACCAACCATCAAGAAGTTTGACACTGTAAGTTTTATATTGCCTCCATTCGGGCTATACTCGTAACAGTAACGTCCCTTTAAAAACTACGGTTTGATAGCGTGGTTAACCAACGTGCCGTTACGGGATCTGAACTGCAAGGGCCGAAGCCAGCAAGCGGCTGAGCGTGGCGAGTGCTCGACATTCCCGCCTCACTTGGTCGGAACCGTTGCGTAGCCGACGGCGGCTAGATGCGCATGGTAATGTACTTATTGGATATCCTAAATTAGTCCAGGCGCAGCACAACGAGTCATTCGGCGGTACGTAATTGGTCTGACCGTCGCCCGGCTCGGCGGGTCGATGCCGAGTGTCGTAAACTGGTCTGAGCGCGTGGCTGGGCGGCAAATTCGAGCTGGTGCCTGGAGCATTGACGCACTCGAATGTACCGTATCACGGACCTTTTTGCCAGCGTCCGTGCCACGCCGCGCCGTGCCCGCATGATTTTACCTGTCCAGCAGTCACTGACCAGGTTTGAAGGTATCTGTGCGGACAACCTACCAATTAGGGAATCATGCCTCTCCTTCGCAACGAAGAAATGCAAGCATGCTCAAGGTGCACTGACTCTTTCTTTATCTTTCCTCTACGTAAGATCCCTACGTACGAGACGAAAAACCCCCTGTGAAGAAAAACGACAGGGGCACTTACGCTTGAGTTGCAACATGCTTTACGCGCCGCTTGCACTCGCACTGACGCCCTGCACTTTGGATGCTCCATATACGTCACTGTCCTGCACTCACATCTTGAGCGATGATACTAAGCCCCTAGTGGCCAATCTCTGACTATGCTTACGCGAAAGAAATCAAGCACGAAGGACGGGTGCCGAGACACTGCGCCGCACACACTATGCACCCCTATCAGTCATACACTTTGAACTGATGACTTGTTATCTCTGCCGTGAGGCGACACTGTCGGGCTGTGCCTGTTGGCTGAATGTCTTCATCAAGTGCCCCTGTTATCCGCCCTGTTTAGGCGCCCCAACCTCACCGTCCTGTTATTTGGCAGCGTCGTCCGCTGCTGCAAGCGAAGGATGCTGCGGCAAGTGTAAGCGCCTGAGTCATTCCAGTAGGATAGCCGTGCTGCAAGAGCGAAAACATGTCATGGTGACAGTCACTAACAAGGCTGACATGATCTTCAGTCGTATCAGTGTTGTTGGTGTCTAGCCTTTCAGCCGCTTCGTTGCACTTTGAACATGCGCACTCTTAGCGCTACCCACCTTTTATCGAACATGAAAGGTTGCGACTTGTTCACAAAACCATAGACATGGAGTGTTTCGCTCTACAGGTCAACTTTCAGTTGGAACCACGGTAAACTGGGATTGCCAAGCGACGCAATTGTTGAGAAGGATGTAAATGGCAGATAAAAAAGGATCTGTGCGTTGCACTGACTCAGGACAAGGAATCGTGCCTGGAGGCGGTGTAACCACTGCTTTTAGCCGCTGGCGTAGGATGCAAGGGTTGGCGGAGCAAGTGAAATGTCAAGATTCCTGTGCAGCAATATATGCTAGGTTATGCGGGCATTGGCAGAAAGAATATATAGTTGAGGTCCCTTCAGGTTCCTGCTCTTTCAGCCTTCCATAGCTGGTCACCGAAAGGGCTTCTTCCTTCTACAAAAGATTTTTTGTCTAATATGCCTTCATCCTCTTGTGACGATGGACAACCCCAGCAAGCTGGGGCAGCTACTTCACTTTCCTTTCCTATCACAGCAGAAGCATGGGATGAAAAATTCAAAGACACCCCTGACGAAGAAAGTGAGCAGGTTTTCAACAATTGGCTGAAACAACAAGCTGTTGGCGAAGCATTTGGTCACGAAAAACATCTGACGGACAAGGTTAAAAGATTCATAATTGACCATTTTGATCGTAGGTGTATACCCGCTACGGCTGGATATCTTCTTGCTAAATCTCATCCAGAATTGGCGGCAAATGGAGTTGTGCTAGGGCTCAATGTTGAGACAACGTCAAGAGGATTTCATCTAACCACTTATCTACATAAGGAGTGCGATGAACTTGAGGAAATGACGAATGATTGTCAGATTCACGGATCGGCTTGCCCTAGAAAAATGACTAAAGAGGACCTTTTTTTTTGCCAACTGTGGGTTCTCGATGGCGGCGGACCGACTTAAAGAAAGCACACCAAACCAACTCTTTATGATATGCCTTAAGATAGAGGAGCTTAAAAACAAGAAACTTGGATGGACAAAAATGCAAGAGTATAGTATGGTACATTTTAAGAATAGGAAAGCTGGGGTAGCTTAGGGGAATTTTGAATAGATGAAATTTGATTGAGTTGGACCAAAAGAAAGGCTCGTTAACTAAGAGTAAATCCAACCCAGTTTACTCTCTGACAGTCAGCTAGATCCACATAACAGTAGTAATGTACCTTTTTCCAATGGATCGTCTGGCAGGGATGTGCCTGAGCC